AGTTCATTCTCATATCTAAAATGTGTCTGACATCCCTCAAAGTCAACATACAGCCTGTACTAGTTTGTACAATAATATTACCAATCTTAACAATCTGCGACACACTTTTGTTTCCTATCTTGATACAACCAAAGTCTCCTGCTTTGTAAGTTGTAAACAACTTTCTCTTAGGAACACAATGATATGTCGCTCCTGTGTCAACTATCCACTTAATGCCAGGATCACTAACATGATTACAATTACAATGTGTACAAATCAAAGTAACTGAATCACTATTTGAATTCACTGTTGCAACGTTGTCATCATCTGAACTCTTGCCTTTCTTATCTTTTCGCTCTTGCTTTAAGATTTTATAGTTTCGTTTTATATGACCTGCCTTACCACAATAGAAACACTTCACTTTACCTCTAGACTTGAATATATGTTTAGACTTACCACGACCTTTTGAGTCCTGACCTTTGTCGATGTTTTTACCTCTGTTCTTGTGACCAGAGCTTGATTCCCATGGTCTACATCTTTTCGCCTTACTTTTTCATTAAGCATACTGTTTTTTACCATCTCCAATGTCATCTTATAATCAAAAGCTGAATTAAGAACAGTCATAACTAGAGTATTCCAACTGTCTGGCAATGAACCCAAAAAAAATAACGCCTTCATTTCATCATCCATCTTAAGCTCTATAGTAGTCATCCGATTAAATATATCTTGAAAATCACTCAAGTGCTCTGTAACAGATCGTCTATCCTTGTACTGTAAAGTTGCAAGCTTTTTAACAAGCATAACTTTATTCATACCTATTTTTCTCTCATATAATGCTGTCAATTTTTTCAAACAATGTGAGCATCTGACTCATGCGCTACATGATGGAACACGTTGATATCAATCTATTTTTTATTGTAGCCAACGTCTTTCTACGTAGCTTCTTCCAGCTTTCATATTTCATATATGCTGGTTTAGCCGAATTACCCAATACTGGCTCAAACAAATCTTTGCAGTATAAATGATCCTCCATCATAGGCTTTCAAATTGAATAATTCGATGTTGTCAATTTTATCACGAAACTTGTATCACCCTCCATGATCTCAAACATAATTTATTTCTATCCTAGATTGCTTCTGTATCGATGTCTCAAAATAACTCTCGCTCTGATACCACTTGTTGCACCTGAAGTAATAATCACAACAATACAGAAGCAATGGACAACAATCAATAATAAAAAATACAAAAAAAAATAAAGCACACCAAGATTTAGTGAAAAACCCTCTAGTATAGAGAGAAAAAATCACAGACCACCAGAAAAATCTTCACTATCAAATAATAGGTATACAAAGTTCTTCTTTAGCTAAAACTAGAGCTAAACAACAACTAGAGAAATAATTGGAGAAATCTCACCAAATAAGTGACTCAACAAATACACCCTGGATTGTTCCTAGAGAGCTTCAAACCCGATCTTAACCTTTCAGAATGTAGAACTCTAAATCATAAACCTCTTGATAAGTTTCAACTCAATCGGACCACGGATCGACTTCCGTTCAACTAACTCTCCCTTTTCTTTTTTCTCTCTACTTTTTTGACTTTTTTTCTTTTTCTACTTGGTTTTTGACACTCCCTTAAAACAACCCCACCTCTTTTTTATTAAATAGCTAGGGCTATGTGTAAAATGAAAGAACAAGGCCCATGGCCTTTACTTGATCCAAAACCACTTACATGGGGCTAGACCCTATTTTCCTAACAGCACTAACACTCTCATTGATGAGATCCAGGGAAAAGTGTATGCATGCAGGCCTCATCATCCAAGATCAAACGATACTTGTCCTGGAGCTATACCGCCAATAGAATGGGTCAAAATAGGGGAAAATCATGTTTTCGCATGATCATCAGATTCGAAACTTAAACTCTCCTTAAGTATGCCTTTTTCAGGATCAGATGCTACGTCAGGAATGTTAGAACCAGCCATAAGATGGAAATGAATTAAAATAAGGTTACTAGATTTGCGGAGAATGTTGTATATAATATTGGCTGCAAAATAAAAAAACATTAATGCATATTAATATCGAGTTTATATTTAATATATTATCAATGTATAGATTTTATACACTGTCAATAAATTAGATGATAACAACTCATTAATGAGCAAATATTAACCCTTAAAATAAATGTACACAAATTAAAATAATTTACTCATTAATGAGATATTATCATCAAATTCACTTCATTAATGAGTTATCATCATTTGATTCACTGACAATATATAAAATCTATACACTGACAGTATATCAAATGTAAACTCATTAATGTCACAGCATAACATTTATGTTTCCTTGGTTATAACCAAATATGGGCATGTATAATCTAATATAGCTTATTCAGAAAGAGATGGAAAGAAAGAAAAGAAGAAGGTAGAATAAAATTAGGGAAAGGAGGAACAAAATACCTCTCTGCTCCATCCATAGCTTCAACCATTTATTTCAAAGTTTCATTGGTGGTGGAAATGGCTTAGGATCTCGGCCAAGAGAATAAAATCAAAATCAAAACAGAAAAGGCTTCCATCATCCATAAGCAGTAGATTGTCAAGGTGTCTGCAACCCTTAAAGATTTGTCTTCAGGAATTGCAAATTAGATGATGGAAAATACATGGCTAATATTAGATGCTAATCTGAGCACATAGCAATTACTTAGATATTATAGATGAATAAAAGATCACCTGTCTCCATTTCCCAGTATATATGTGATAGCAGAGTAACCAGAACAGCTTCTTATAAAGATTTCAAGACAAGTGGCTGTAATCCCAAATGGTCCATGTTAAATCCATCTTCTTCTGACGTACCAAGCTTCTCTCACTATAGAACACAACTGCGTTGTCACTTCTGTCCGACTTACCAAACTCTGCCACATCTTAAATCCATCTTCTTCTGCATTTACACCAGCTGTCAACTGTAACAATATGAGTGATTATTAAACAGCAGAAACAGAAAACAAGCTCTTCAGTCTTGCAAGTCATAAGGTAGAATTAATGATGCTAACAATGTTACTGTGGCTTGCACTTTTCAAAAATGCAAATGAGGGACCCAACGTTTATAATGATAGCACAATCTATTCCTAATCCTAAAGAGAACAGCAGATGGCACTATGCAGTAATAGAAAGTTGGAACTCATACCTTCATCATATTTTCTTCTAGGAACTCATACATATAAAATCGTTTTGCACAGGCAGGGTCATGAAGTTCCACAGCAACAAACCAATGTAGAAAATTAGCCAAATCATTATTTCGTAAAGCTGTAAAAGATTAAAATGCTTTCAGATGCTACCACCTAATAAAGAGTATTATTGTTTGTGAATTTTTTTGAATATGAGAAACAAATCCAATTTAATTACTTTAACTGAAACATAAGCAATCAGATACAGCTAATCAGGGTAAAAATATTAGAAAAAAGAAACATAAGCCCCTTGCATCAGCACCACTATCCAAGCAGAGAATCACAAAATCAACCAAGCAGGGGCTAAAGGAGGGAATTCCTTGTGAACCTTCTTACATAAAATAAACAGAGATATCTAAGCAGCTTAGTATCAGTTTTGGCCAGAAAAATAAAGGTATCATCTATAATTATTACAGAGTAATTAATCAATTATAATTCAGTATTGTATAAAAACTATAAAAAAAAATAAAAAAACCATCTATATTAATTGATAGATTCTTAGATAAATTTTTTTTTTGTTACGATTGGTTAATTGCATAATTGTAATAAAAAGAATTGCAGCAATAGCATTATCTGCCGCAATGGTCAGATCACATACCATATGTAATACATGTCATCCTCCAAGAGCATAAGCAGCAACCCGGTTTATTATAAGATTGAGAGTAATCTTAAAGACCAGAACCAAATTGGAAAGCATGCATGATGTAAATACGGACGTTACAAGTCGGTGCGTTATGAACATTGGCCGGAGCTTATTGAAACGCACCATTTCCTTCGCTGCTAGCACTATAAATATAGAAATGCATCGGGTAAAAAAGTCAGTGACTTTTACTTCGATCTCTGCTTTTGTTTGCGCAATTGAATTGAGGATCGATGCCGTCGACGGAAAGACCAGGGAGAGAAAATGTGGGAGACGATGCCGGATCTTCTTCTCCATCCATCTGATACGTACCCCAATTTTTTTACTTGTTTGATTATCCTGTTGTTTGTGTTTTTTTTAGGTTGTCGGCTTCTCGCTGCAACTTTGAATTATATTTGAATTGTTTGTACAAAAAACGTGCGCCGAGTCGTTTGCTTGCTTGAATTATATATATAAAGTGATTGTTAATCGGTCTGGTAGGTCATGAAGTAAAACACGATTATCAGTTATTGTATTCTATATGAAATATGCATATAATTCATGAGTTATCAGATTCAGAAAACAAATCATGTCACCTGCTGAAAGAGTTGATTCTCAATTCCCATTCCCCGCGGCCTCGCCCCCTCCCTTCATCTACGATTGCAGTTCATGGTTTTATTGATATTCATATATAATTTGTTTCTGAGGATATAATTTTCTCATTTGAGCTTCAAGGTTTCTTCCACTGCAATTCTTTCTTAATGCCTTGTCAAACTTGTGTGCTTTATAAGATAGACGGTTTGTGCATGTTTTAACCTTATGCTTGTGCCATTTAGTCTTTTAAGTGAATGGTATATCCGAAGAACCAAACGTCTATATATATTGATTTATTGATGCCCATCTAGCGGATAATGCATTTGTATAATATCTCACAATCAAATAATCTGCCTTAATAAACAAGACAGTCTTGTACTCCTATATTGGAATCTACCTGATAACTTACCTGTATAATCTCACATAGTGGGGATCCTGAACTGGTGTAATCCCATCAAAGAAGAATGCCTATAAATTAGGATGACACATAAATATACACCCTATACCTAATAAACGAATGGTGTGAAAGGGGTCGGAAAAACCATGCCGACCACGCAAGCGAATACACCATAAATTACCTAGACTAAGCTCAGCACACATCATGATCAGATTCGACTCTGTTATTTGATGGCTTGCCAATCTGTAAACAACGGATTGGAGGGACAGTAGGGGTGGTCAACTCTCCAAATGTTTGCCAACAGAATGGATCATATAGGTGGTAGCTTTCCTGCAGTGGCTTTAGCTCAATGGCAGATAAAGTTACACCTATACACGGAAGGCTATCGCTACAGGCTAAGTGCACAGGTTTTACTGTGTATGTCCCCCTTATTTTTTCATAGGTGATTCCTGATAGAGCGACTGCTGCTGTTTCATTGTTACATGCCCTTTTGTCACAATAGAATTGATCGATCACAATTGGAAGTTGGACCTCAGAAACTTGAATGTTTGAGAACAGAACCCCCTGAACAGAGCCCGATCCACCCTGCAGATGTGATTTAAATTATATGTAAGAAAAGTTACTGCTTGCTAGCAACCTAGATTTGTATAATAACTTGGAATGTTAGGAACTTGCACTAATGGTTTTTTTTTCTATCACTGATAACAAATAGGATTTTTTACCTACAAGAAATGAAATAAGATATGAAGTTGTAGGCAAAACTCAGATTTACCTTCAATAATCAAAATTTCGAGTAAACTGAAATTAATTGATTAAGGAAATGAAAATCCACAATAACAATACTTCTTCGAAATTGTCAAATCCTGTATATTGGCTTTGGAAGAGGATTGTTCTTGAAATAGAGCTAATCCATGTTGAATGATTTAAATGTCATACCTTGTTAAGGAAATCTCAGGGAATACATCTATGCCATATGGATTACTGATTTGTAAATTTACCAAAAACTTGAATAAAGTAATAATAGATCACATTAGATTAGGGACTTATTAGTCATTTTATTCATATTACGATTATGTTTTCACCTTAGGTCTTACTTCTCCTACTTCCCATTTAAGAAAAAATTATAAGGTCCTGTAGTCAAATAATTTATTGTAATTTTCCCTTCTCTCTCCTTTCCTCTTGCTTTTAGCTGTCTTTTTTCTTTTTTTTTTTTACCACAATTATGTATTTGAGTATGTAAGTGGCTTGTAACATATATTATCTGAAGCTATCTTTGTCAATGAATTATGGTTAAAGAACGTAGTTTTCAATTTAATTAAAAGCCAGTTTATCACATTTACCTAAACAGTGTTCTGATTCCTATATTTCAAACTTGATGAGTTTTTTATTTTATCATGTGAGAGTGAAGGTCGTATGGTTACCTGCCATGTCTTTATTCTGACACCGTTCATCGTGTTACGCATAATGATATCACGGACAGTGATGTTTGAGACGCAGGCTTTGGTATTATCCTTTCCCAAGCTTCCAATGCTGATTCCATGCCCTGGTCCACAGTTCACATTGTGAATGTATACATTTGAGCATCCTGTTTGTATAGAAACGCAGTCATCTCCTGCATAATTATTAGATTTAAGAGCTCAGGTTAGTATAAACACGAAAAATAGATGTCTTTTATGTTCTTTGTCAATTAGTTTTGTGGTCAGAGCTGATTCAATTTACGCATTTGTTGCTGCCGAAAGCATCAAAATTTTTTGTAAGGACCGATTGTTTATAACTTTTCATGAGAGCCTGTTTCTAAGCAAAAGTAGTCTGGATGCTAGAGCCTAGGGAATCAAAGCAAAAAGTCTTAGCTGTTAGTGGAGACAACGAAAACTTGAATGAGTAAAACAAGAAATGTGTTCTTGCTGTTTAAGTGGTTCAACCCTAATCCTATTTTGGGTTGTTGATGCCGCACCATTCTTTAGAATATGACACGTGTCTAGTGACTAGTGACTGTAACCCAAATTTTGGATATTGCTGGCAGCCACTTGACAAATTATTAGGGCTGAAGGAGAATATATGGAATAAGATTGTGATATGTTTCTTTCAGGATGCAATCAGAGATACCTCAATTCGGCACCTTTTCTATGATGCCGTCAGTTGTTCACGAGTTCTTAACACTGTATCATTAATGTGGACCCGCAGGTCTTTCTCCCATTTTGTCAAGACTGGCGCTCAACCCACGGCCCACCATTGTTTAACTGAAATTAGTACAGCAAGATAATTGAAATAATTACCGCAGGCTAGATTACTGCCATGAATTAGCACATCTTTGGAGTTTTGTAGGTGGATTCCGTCTGTGTTAGGACTGTCCCCTGGAGATGAGATGGCTGTATCGTGCACCACAACTCCCATGCAATTATCAAACTTGAGATGGCATTGAGGACTGTTTTGAATTTTTATACCCGTGACTGTCACATTGAAACTCCCATAAAACCTTAGTGCCTGTGCAACAGAAAGTAAGAAAAATGTCATAGGACTGCATAGTCGTGGAATATGATTGGATTTTCGTAGTTTCAAGTGGTCCTTACAGTTGGCTTGATGCTCGGCATTTTTCCACTGAGTTCATTTCTGACCTACCACCCAATTTATACGAGAAACATGATTAGTTTGCAATCAATCAAAACTAGAATTTCCAGGGCAAGTGGAAATTGAAGTAGGTAATTACCGGCATTGGTGGCCTTTCTTGAACTGTGCTGTTTAATGGAATTATGAGTTTTCTTTCATCATCATATGGATCTTCATATGGGGCATCTTGCCACCACCCTGTGCCTCTTCCATCAATGATACCTTTTCCCTGAATTGTTATACCTTTCAGCTTTGTGAATTCAAGCCATTGTAAAATACCTTTGCCCCAGGGTTGAGAGTCGGTCGGAGCAATAATTGTACCATCCAGCTGAGAAAAAAATCCAGCCACGTCAGCCTTGATCAAGCGTCAAGTCTTTAGTACTATGACAATCACAAGGTGCAGTAGCCAGTATGTCACTCACTGAACATCAAACTGCTATTATTATCATTTCTCTTTCCAATTTCTTTTGATAGTGTTATCTGGATATGTCATTGATTGACTGTACAATGTAGTAGGGATTAATTAAGATCTAACATGTTTTTACCTGAAATACAATGTTTGCTTGACAGTATGGACCAGAGAATGAAATGGGTCCTACAAGGAACAGGAATTCAGCTGGGACGACAACCGTTGATACCTCCACCTTACATGCAGCTGCCCATGCGGCTTGGAATGCCTGCGTTGCACCATAACAGATCAGCTATGTGGCTAGTGTGTGAGTGGGACAATAACTAAAGGCATAGAAATACAGTTAAATGTTGGTTAACCGTATACTATTCTAATAATTGCTCCAATCGTGACTAAACTACCCTAAGAGAATCCTTTCTTTATCTTGAAGTGGTCCCGCCAGGCTTCGGGTGGTTTTGTTCTGCTCTCTCTTCTCTTCTCTTCTTTGTTCCACGTCCTTTTTTCTTTCTTTGTTTCCATATACGCTTTTTGTGCATTCCATATTTTAACCAATAAAATTTTGTTATGCCAAATGTTTGTATTTTTTCTTCTGCATTACCCCAAAAAGTTCTTTCTTTAAAAAAAAAAAAAAAGAAAGAAAGAAAAAGGTTTTTTTGGTTTTTGGCCTACATACTCCTATTATCGGTGAATAAAAAATGTATTGATATGCAAGTGCATGAGGTGCATTCTGAACTAGAATAACTTGAATAAAAAATGCAACTATGAGAGTTTGGTTTAGCCAAAAAAAAAAAGGAATGCATGGAAGTTTGAGAACTTTGAATGCCTTCCCTTCATGTAGCAATGATGAATTTTGAAGAAGCATCAACTGTTTTGTTGTTTGATTTAGAGGGAAGAATTAGATGTTGTGAGTACTGGAGAAATTTTTTGTCCATAGTATTTGTAAATTTTAAAGCCCTATTATAATGATGTCAAAATTTTCAGCAACATTTGAATTGGGCATAAATACCTTGGTATCATCAGTTTTCCCATCACCCTTTGCGCCAAAATCTAGCACGTCGAAGATGTTAGACTGCTGCCCGTGGCCGTAACCTTTCTGGGGCGGGGGAGTTGAAGGGACTTCTTCTTTGGGCTTAGGAGATGGAGGAGGTGATGGAGCAGCTTTTTCCTTTGGAGGTGGAGGAGCTTTCGGCTTAGGAGATGAAGGAGGTGATGGAGTAATTTTATGAGGAGGAGCTTTTGGCTTGGATCCTCCATTGTGGTAACTGTGATGACCATGACCTTTTCCTTTCTTCTTAGATAGTGAAGCTGCAGCACCATACTTGCTCTGTCTCCAATGCTTGCCTCTTCTAGCAATGCAAGTTTCAATACTTGAAGACCACACAAGAAAAGCAATAAAGAGCATAAATGTGAGGCTTCTGAAGCTAATGCCACTCATTTTTTTCCTTTTTTATTTTTTCTCTCAAAATGAGAAAACAGGGAGATGAAAGACAGGGGAGAGCGAGAGAACTTGTGCTTGAGAGCCAAAATAATAAGCAATGGTTGGTGTTTAAATAGGGAGAGCACTCCAAAGCAATGAGGACTTTTTAGACAAAAGCCAAAAAAATATTGCTTTGATAATACTCTGTATTTATGTTTCATTATCTTTACCCCCTCTCTCTTCTTATTCCCCTTTATGTCAAATTTGGTTGGAATTTATTTATTTAGCTGAAACAACAAGTTCTCAGGCATAAGCAACCTGATTTATTTCTAATTTTCACAAAATTAAAACATGGCTTTCACACACCATGAAGTTTGATTTTTAATTTAATAATCAAAAATCAGAATTTGAAGTTTAGTTAAAATTAATTTATATACTCACTTTTAAAAAAAATAAAAAATTCAAATACAAATTTTAATAAAATTTTCAATATAAAAAAATTTGTATTATTCTTTATAATAATTGCAAAATACTATCTCAAACAACGCCAATATTGGAAATTAAAATTTCTCTTGTTGAAAATAAATAAATATAAAACGTGACTATTAAACAGAGGTATACCTGTACCACTCTTTCTATCTCTTTTAATTAATACTTATTTATTGGAAAGAATCAAACTTAGAATTTTTCTGTTTAAAACAATGATGTGATGTGACTGCTAACAGAAATATACCCTTCGACCACTCTCTTTGATCTCTTTTTTTTCTTTCCTGCTATATTTGCAAAAATGGTGGTTGGTTGGTGTGGCTATGGCTATGGCTATGGCGATGGCCGCGGCTGCCATTTTCTTGTGTATTATTTTATACTAGAGGTTTCCTTCAATGTGTTATAATTATTTAATGTGGAACTAAAATTTGATATTAAAAAAGGCCAAAAAGGGACACGTGAGTGGGTCTGTATGTTATCATGAGGGCACTGATTATAACAGCTCCCCATTGTCACATGCAACGTTCACGGGCTTCAGTTTTCCGCTTTGTCTTCTTAACCCACAACTATGCCTACTACATGTCACGTATTTCCTTTTACTACTACTTTTCTTTTAAACGCAAATTCTTCAACTCGACGTTGTCTTGACTTTTTAATTTTTTTTTTTTTTTAAATATTGGTGTCCAACACATAATAAAAGGAAAGGTTAAAGGATACAAATTTATCGAATAAAAATTTAATAATTATTTTATTTTTTATTTTTTATTATTATCATAACATATAGATTCGAGAATCTATCGTTAGATATTGACTTGAGGAGTTGTCACCAATTTTTTTTAATTTAAGTGTGATTGGTCACTTAAAAATCTATCCTTTTAAAGAATACCTAAGCTTAACTAAGGGTCTCGAAAAGAATAAGTTTCGGATCTATTAACTAAAACAGGATTCGAAAATTCGGTTACGAGTGAGAAAGGTTACAGTACTCTCATAACGCCCATTATACCAGCTCAATTTCGTATTATCCATTAAGCCTTAAAAGTTTTACCAAGTATTTAATTATTAAAAATTATCCTTAATTGACTCCAATACTTTTGACAGAAAATTAAAAAAATTCTCTCACCTCAAGAGTATATAAGAAAACTATTGTACTTGTAGAGGCTCTATTATCGGATTATTTAACATTAAAAAAATTTTTGAAGAAAAAAAAGGCAAAATGAGTAAGAAATGATTATTGATATAGATCTTTTTTTTATTTGTTTTATAAAAAAACTCATGCTTTTATACAAGAAAAATTGATACTTTTAACTTTTCATTAAAATATTTTGAGGGTTTTTTATTTTTAAGAAAAATTGATACTTTCAACTTTTCCTTCAACTTTTCCTAAAAAATATTTTTTTAAAATTTTATTTTCGAGAAAAATTAATATTTTTAACTTTTTCTCAAAAATATTTTTTAGAAATTTTATTTTCAAGGAAAATTAATACTTTCAACTTTTCCTCAAAATATAATTTCAACTTTTTCTCAAAATATATTTTTTAAAAAATTTTATTTTCAAGAAAAATTGATACTTTCAACTTTTCCTCAAAAATGCTTTTTAAAATTCTATTTTATATTTTTTTATTCTTTTTTAAATTTATTCATGCAAAAATACTCTTAAAAATAAACAAACACATAAATAAAATAAAAAATAAAAAACAGCTCAGTTCAAGGGTTAGCATGGCTCGGCTCTAGACATAGAAAACTGCTCAAAGGCGCAGCTCAACGGGAAATTGGCTTTGCTCAGCTCAGCAGTAGGGTTTGTGGAATGGGTTGAAGCAGGCCACGCTACGGGTCGAGTCACCCCAGGTGAAAACGCACGGATCTTGGACTCTTTAAATACCAAACGATGTCATTTTGAGGAGGCTATAAAAGCTCAAGTTTCAGCCCTCTGCTTCAGATCTCTCATTCATCTTCTCTATCTTCTCCTTTTTTTCTCTCTCTTTCTTTCTAGAACATGATGAATTTCGATTGAATCTCTATCGAATTTTGAAAAATGTTATCAAAATCTGGGTTGGTTCACCAGAATGTTGTCAAAAAATTCAACTGACATTGGAAGCTGGGCCAAATTCTGGGAAACCTATCTAAAAATTCAACCAATGTGGAAAATTTTCGTCAAAATCTAAAAATTTTCAAAAAAAATTTTATTCTCTTTAACAAAACTTCAAAAAAAATTTTCTTCTACTTGCTGTGTTTTTTACTTATCTGTTCTCTTTTCTGCTTCTGATTTTCTCTTTATGTTTATTACGTGACTGTAGTTGTTGATGGTTTTCGTATATGAGTTTGTAATGGTATAAGAACAGTGGGTCAGTGATTTTTGTATTTTCAGCTTTTTTTTTCTCATCGTGTGTTTCTGTGTATGCACCTATTTATAAGGTTCTAATTTGAGAATCCTAAATCAAAAAGGAATTCCAATTTACTTCAAACTTTACTCCCATCCAACCTCTTTCAACCCTTTTTAAAACTCTTTGACCTAGTTTTACACCAATTCAACCACCTAAAATTTTTCTTAATTTTTCATTTTTTTTCCATTTTTTCATTATTAAAAATAAACACCTCAGACAGATCGGGGTGTCTACAGCTGCTCCTCTTTACACATTTCCTGTATAATAGAAATTGTACAAAGACGTAAACACCCTTCACATTTAATAATCATCCCAACAGGTTCATTTTTGTTTTTTTTTTCATCATTTTTTTTGTTTTTTGTTTGTTTTTTTTTTTTTTTGAAAAAAAGTAAATGAAGCTCCTCCAAACAGAGATTCAACTACTTTAATAAAATGCTTCTCTAAATAAAAGAATCACAACTTTGAAAAATAAAATGCCCCTTTAAACAGAGGCAACCATAACTTTAAAAAGTAAATTGCTCCTCTAAATAGAGGCACCACAACTTTGAAAAGTAAATTACTCCTCTAAACAAGGGTACTACAACTTTGAAAAGTAAATTGCTCCTTGACAATCATGTCCAGATGAGTCATAGATCAGACCTAATAAAATTTGTAATGAAAACTCAAATATTTGCAATCTAAGTTCGAAAGTCAAAAGTTCAGGTTCGTAAGAACTCACTGAAATTTGATTCTCAAAATTTTATATATACAAGAATTCAAACTTGTAAGATTTCAGGTACGCAAGAATTTAGATTTGCAAGATTTGCATCCAAAAGTTGAGTTCAAAGCTTTTCCCTTGAATTTTGAAGATTCACATAAAAAAACTTTTCTGTTTAGTTCAAAGATTCCAATCCGACAAACTTTAGGGTTTTATATCTCAAATATTCTCATTTGAAAATATCTTAAAGGTTCTCACTTAAGACTCAAAGCTACTCATTTGAAAACATCTTAAAGATTCTTATTTGAAACTCAAAGATTCGTAATTTAAAAATGTCTTAAAGATTCTCATTTGAGACTCAAAGATTCTCATTTGAAAACATCTTAAATATTCTCATTTGAAAACGTCTTAAAGATTCTCATTTAAGACTCAAAGATTCTCATTTGAAAATATCTTAAAAATTTTCATTTGAAAACGTCTTAAAAATTCTCATTTAAGACTCAAAGATTCTCATTTGAAAATGTCTTAAAGATTTTCATTTAAGACTCAAAGATTCTCATTTTGAAACGTCTTAAAGATTCTCATTGAAAACTTAAAGATTTTTATTTGAAAATGTCTTAAAGATTCTCATTTAAGACTCAAAGATTCTCATTTGAAAACGTCTTAAAGATTCTCATTTAAGACTCAAAGATTCTTATTTGAAAACATCTTAAAGAATTCTCATTTAAAAATCAAAACTTCATTAAAATACTCAAAATTACTTTTCCAGATGAGCTTTAAAATTTTACCAAAGTCAAAATTTTGTATGTGCTGAATGTCATTATCAATTATGCAAATACTTTCTTTAATGATGCAAATGCAACAATCTAGATTCTCACAATGTCATATTCTCAATCATGATTCAAATATTTACTACATAATGCAAATGCATAGCCAAACTAAAGTTTCAAATATTCTCCAAACAATAATTCAAATGTAATGCATGTAATGTGGATATCCATGTCATGAAATCCTAATCAAAAAGTGGTACCATGGTCCTCAAGACCTCACCATCTCATCTTTTTACATTTTAGCTTCTCAGCACTTTAGAACAATTTTGTCAACTGATCCCCATTATTTTCATCACTTGATTACCATTCATAGGCTTTTCAGCATTAACTATTCTAAAATGAATTTTATCTCATGATCCTCATCGTTTGATCACCTCTCACAAATTATGTTGACTAATCTATCGCCACATTCATTACTTGGTCACACCATGTGTCTTTTTGAATCATCTTTTTAAGTTTTTATTTTTATCCCCTATCATCCTGGATTTTATTTCAAAGAATGCAAAAACCTTTTAAACACATATTCATTCATTCATTATCATTTCAAATCATGATAAATACAATGCAATCATACATTTTCTCAATCTATTATAAGGATGTGAGAATAAAAGAGCACAAGGTGAATTAAAGAAAAGACAATCAATGAGGAGTGAGTCTAGTAATGGACAAAGGAACAAATTCGAAGCATATCAATTGGGATGGTATTGAATGGTGTGATGACATCCAAATAATGAACATTCAGACAATTTTTAACTTTAATCCATGATTCTTTAAAAA